GGGGATTTTGCAAAACCTCTGCGTGCAGACAGCTCGTCCAGTAATTTGACTTTATCAGAAATTCTTGGAGTAGCTTTCATTGTAAAACTGGGAAGAAATGGAAATGGCAGTTGCCATTCACAGGTTCTGGCAGTGATTTAAGCAATGGAGCCAAAGGAAGAAGCAGGTTTTACTGGTGTTTATTTTATTTCTGCTTTTATTTTGAGCCTGTAAAAATTGAAGGTGTGACACTGCCAGGAGTGGCTGAAACAGTGGATGTGGAGCAAGATAATCGGTTACCAAAACTGGAAGTACCAAATGCGATCCAACAGAAAGTCATTCCAGGTAAAAGAGAGGGAGGTCATGTCCAGCACGAGTCCACCTCAGAAGAAATCGTGTTGCCCTTCTCCCTGATGGGGAAACCTCAGAGACATTGGCCAGTAGCTCCAGCTCATTTGAACACTTTGGGATGGAAAACGCCCCTGCTCCTCTCCATGCAAGGGTGTTTCTTTGGGATGCTGTCACCCCGTGGAGCTCACGCTGAGGGACACGTGCCCATGGGCAGGTGGAAGTGATGCAGGAGCCACCTCAGTTCCCCGCAGCTGCGGGGCCAGGCTAGAAACTGCTCCAGAAAGCAAGGAGAGATGGGTCGTGGGCTCTGCACCACCTCCAGCAGCTTGATGAGCGTCTGCTACCGTTGAGGTAGTTATTTCTCTCCTAGAAATAAGACGCTTTTCTGAATCATCAAGTCAACAGTGTGTACTGCACCATCATAAATGTATAGAACTCTGTCTTACAAGGAGTTATACTCTGTAACTTCTCCACTCGCTCTGGAAGAAAAAACTTTCCTCCACAAGCAGGAGAATTACTAAGGGCGATGCACTGAACTCCCCCCTAAAGGGTGCGACACCAGCGGGAGGGATACTTTGCTCTGCAGCGGACCACAGCAAATACAGGGATTGCGTATCAAAACATTTCAGTCGAAATGAAAGAGCATCGATGTTTTAGGATGCAGAAGACAAATTGCTCTCTCTCCTTTCCTTTGGAAAGAGGGAGTTCTGGCTGCTCTTAGGCTGTAATCTCTACGTTTTATGTAGTTTTAGACTTTATATAGTTTCTGTCTTATAGTTGGTGAAAATTTGTTAGATGGGCAGAGCAAATGAGGAAGACAGGTTGGACACCTGATTGTTAGCCCCTGAATGTGTATTAAACTGGGAGAGAACAGGACAGACCTGTTGGTGTAAAGAAAAGATTATAAGAAAATGAAATGTTTCTTCCATACCTCATGGAGACCAACGAAGATCAGTTCAGCCCATTGAGTTTTCCTTGGGAATCATAAAAAGATTTCTTTCAGAAAAGGTAGTTCACATGTAAGAGTTAATTGTACAATTTAAATGGATGAATTTTTCCTTCCTATACTCTGCCAAGGTTTTACATTTATCCCAACCTCTTCCACTTCCAGACTGGTTGATCCTTATACGATATGTATGTTCTCAAGCAGGAAATGTTCTCTCTTGTCTTCATCCGAAGGGTACACTGGATTCATCCCCCGCCTCACCTGGATTAATGGCGTGAACTACATCCAGGGTGTGAAGGAAGCAATGAACGAATTTGACCGACATCAGGTAGATTATATGCACAAATCTTATTTCAACAATATAATGCTGGTGTTGATTCATCTGCAACATGAAAAGTGGTTTCGTTTACAGTACTAGTATTAGAACTGGGGTTATAAGTACAAGCAAAATAAAATGCTATTAGGTAACATGTTGAAAAAATCATGAGCAATTAAATTCTGTAACTTGTTTCCTTGGGACATTAAGGGAGGATAAATGAGTTCATAAAAGGATTAAGCAAATCTATTGAGGGTTGGGTCAATGGTGGCTGTTAAAAATGTTGCTCTGAGTGCAGAAACACAGGATGCAACTATCTGCGCTTCCCTTATGCAATATAGCTTCTCTACCTGGATGGCAGTGCTGGATGGATATTTCTCCCTTTTAATTGGTTGTAAGGCTTTTTCCTTTACTAACATCATTTGTCTTAAAGGGATGTAGGTCTCCTTTCTCCTCCTTTTGGGAAGGACGCAGAAATATCCCTACTGAAAAACTGTTTTGTCCCCTTGCTGTAAGATCTCCCATATAATGCCATATAATCCTCCTACACAGGAAAATGAAATCCCTCCCACAGTAGTTAATAGTTTGCATTCAAAGCTACACATTTCTTCCTGCTGCCAGGATGGAGTGAGATCCCTGGGATGCAGCCGTCTTGCCGGTCCAGCGCCGGTGAGGGCTGATCAGCTCAGTGACACAGCTCATTAAAAGCAGGTTACAACATTTCCAGCCCTTTCTGGTCACCAGGATTCACTGCAGTGCCTTTGTCCCAGAGCGAATGGGTCTGATGTAGAAAAAAGCCTAAGATTGAGGATCCCCAGCTCTGAGAAACTCGGCTGGGAAGAAATGACTCAGCGGGGAGAGCCGCAGGGCTCATGGCAGCCTCATGCTTTGGCTGAAATGTATTTCCCTGTGCTGGCTTCCTTATCCTTTCCTTCTGCCATTAACAGGAATTGAAATGAAGCAAACGGAACAAAAACCAGGCATTATCAAAACTAAATGTACTGTTTGCAAAGCCTTTCTGCCCCTGATTTCTTAAGAAACGTCTGCCGGGTGGTAAATCAGCGAGGGAGGTGTTTCTCCATGGCAGGACTCAGCAGAATCCAGGCTCGCAGAGGTTAGCTGCAGCACATCAGGCACTGAAGGAATATAAGCACGTAAAAGAAAAAATCATACCACATTTCTATCTATCTAAGATGGCTTCTGACTTCAAGCCTCTAATCTTCTGCCCTAAATCTCTGTTGCCCTAGGTTACATACTGGGATGTGCCATGGATCATTGCTTACTGTCTGCATCAGGCAAAATAATGCAATCCTCTCGCTTGAGGAATTGCAGCAATCGCTCCATCATCAGGCACAAAATGGTTCGATGGCCCCACGGTTTGCTCGGCTCCACGAACCCGGTCCCTTCACTGCCGAGCAGGGTGTGCGCCGAGGAGGTCGGCGCAGGTTTAGTGACATCTTTAGGGGTTTTACCGCTGCAGAGATGTGCAGAGCTGCACCATCCATCCTCCAGCACAGCCCCTTATCTGGGTCTGACCTCGGAGGGCAGGGACAGATCCAGGAGCTGATTTACACTCTCCCTTCAGTTAACGCTCCCTAAGCCTTCCTGTTCCTCCTAGCTTGGGAATTATCGGCTAATCAATCATCGTCGGTGGGACTCATGGAAAAACAAAACCAGTCGAAGGGGTTAAACCGAAACAGAGATGTGCAGAGTCATAGCACAGGAGCCGACGAGGCGCATACCCAACTCCAGCAGATACGACAGTGTACCAAATGTGTGAGCACAAGGTGTTTGGGACTTGCGGGTGATGCCCAAGGTGAGGAATGCAGTCCAGGCTGTAGAGATCCTGATGACTACGCCTAGGCCAGGAGCTGCTCTGTGCCCCTGGGGTACGAGCTAGCAGAGGCAGCGCTGTCGAGGGCTGCTGCCAACACCTCTCAGGAGAAAAACTTACTTATAATGTGGAAAAGGGGGACAATGCAACGTAGCTCCTAATTAGAAGAAAACAGAACTGGAAAGAGAATTGCTGTACATTGGCTTAAATATTTTCTCTAATATGGAGTCAAAGCATATGACTTGGGTAACAACAATATGGTTTAAAATTAACTGTAGTGTGGTGGTGGTGTGTGTTTGTTTTCTAGTTTCTGCAGAGAAACCCAGCTTGCAGCTTTGGCAAGAGATTACCCCAAACATACTGGCCTAACAACAGAATTTACACCAGTGCTGGACTGCTACCTTCCTACACGGGCTTCGTACCATGTAAGTTTATCAGCTGAGTGAAAATGAAAGTCACTAATACTAATTACTGTCATTAAGTAGCAGTGTTATTAGCTGTAGTGTCGTAGTAGTGAACAATTACTGAAATGTTCCACATGGGTAGTAGATTTTTTTTTCCAGTCTGTCCAAGGTGCTGGAGCTGTGCCATCCCCTGCCTTTCTGCAGGAGAGCCCATGGTCCTCGCTGCCAGCCTGGACTTGTGCAGACCTTTCCTCTGGTTTCCAGCCTCCAACCCCCTGCTAAAGCGGAGGAGGCTCAGTAACACCCCACCTCTTACACGGGTGCGTTACAATTTCTTCGTCAGGAAAGTGACTCTGTTCTAAAAAGCTTAAAGTCTGATAAAAAGCAAAAGGTAGATGATACAAAGGGGTTGAGAAAGCACAAAGAAAGCAGTGAAATGGTGTCAGCCATCAAGATAGGTGGTGGCTACCCTGATTTTTGTCAGTTATCTGCGTTGCCTAAAAGGAGAAGTCTGAAGAAAGTCATTTTGTGTATGTTAAGAGAAAGGTCTGCCCATGCAGAGCATTAAGGTATTAAGCTAAAATTTCAACAAATCAGCAGTTGGTATCTTTGGCCACAGCAAAGTCAAGACCCACAGCTCAGTAATGTGGGATGGGAAATCATGGAGATAAGCTTGAAAGAACCAAACTCATAGCTTGCACCTAATGCAACACAGAGGATGAAAATGTGGTAGAAATGAAATCAAAGAGTGGGAAAACAACTATCCTGGGAGGGTTGGACTGTAGCTGATATCGAGGTTGAGCCCAGAGAGGAGAATGTTGAGGCAGTGAATGTGACTCTAGCAAGACTTGTATCAGGGGCGTGGGAAAGCCATGCAGAAAAAGCGAAGTTGAACACATGGCCAGTCATCAGGCGCTTGAGGGATGGTCTAAGGGAAAGGATGGAAGCATCTTACACACCAATGGCGAAAGGTGAGGCTGGACAGGCGTTCTGAGCAAAGATGAAGAGAAATACGTTCGTTTTGGCCTCTGTCACCACGCTTCGGGGCAGATGGCAAGCGCAGCAGCTGCTGTCCCCCGTGCAGTACACTTGCCTGTCCCCTTCCTTCACCCGGCAGCTCCGGGGCATCTCACGTCAAAGCCCCGACTGTGCTGGGTGCCTGTTTCCTCTGTGCTGGATTGCTCGGGGCGGGCTGTGGTCACGTTCCACACGACTGTAGCCTGCAAGCTGAAGCCCCCTGGAGAAAGGCTGTTATGAACCTAAAGGTAAACTGGACTCCGGTCTTAAACTCACCCATGTCTTTTGTCCTCTCTCCACAAGCCTGCAGAAAGCAGGGGGAGAGCAGCCTGAGCTCTTCAGGGGAGGGTGACTAATGCAGCTCTGCCCAAAAGGGTGCTGGGGGGACAACACGGTCCTGCCCTCAGTAACCGGCAGGCCAGGGAACACACCAGCTTCAGTGTAATGAAAAGGAAGAAAAGAAAACCCACCCTAAAATCACAGACAAAAATCAACTGCTTGAAGTCTTACTTCATGCTTTAACAATGTGTTGCCATCTTTTCACCTACAGAAGTATTCTCCTGCGTAGGTTTGAAACCGGCCACCTGTTTCTGTTAGACAGACAAAAACCACTGCCCCAAGAGCCACCGCAGTCAGTGCAATTTTAACTACTCCAACCAGCTCAACTCTGGAAGGAGAAACTTACTTTTAAGACAGACAGTTACAATTAAAAACACTGAACAGAATTTCTTCAG